GTCAAGGACCGCCTGTATTTGCTGTAGTAAAGGAACAAAGTTTTAGATTCAAGGAGTAACTTAAGCATGTTCTCCCATACAAACTGGGCCCGAATTTTAAGATAATTTCAGGATAAGCTCCTCTGCCATCCCACCATCGGAAGCTCCTTGGGGGAGAAGTTTAACCCTTTTTATTCCATCAAGCTGGCCTGGCCTAATCTTCATTTTCTCCCCTTTTCCTTTTAAAATGTAAATTTTAATTTGTTTTTAAATTATTGGGGTGTTTTAATTCTGTCTGGGGCCAAACTGTTTAATTCGGTTTTATTCAGCTTTTAAATTTTGTATATATGTATTTTACTTTGTGGCTGTTTATCGCCCTGAGTCCTTCGGGAGTAGGGCGGTATATAAATCCAATAAACTAAACTAAACTAAAAGAGGGTGTCAGATGTTAACCAAGATAACAGTCAGATGGGATCTCATTATGGCCTGCTAAGCCAGCTATATCAGTTTATTTAGCTTCTTGGACCATTGCAGGGTGATGTGGCTTCAAACAGCTGAGGAACCACAAACTCGAAAATCATTCCTCTCTTTATCAGCATCTCTTAAATTCTGAACAGAAAACTCCCCCCAAAGTACTTTTAACAGATTTAACAGATTAACAGAGCCGGAAGGGACCTTGTAGGTCATCTAGTCCACCCCCCCCAAAAGCAGGAGACCCTACACCATTTCTGACAGAGGGCAGGCCAGTCTCTTCTGGAAAGCTTCCAGGGATGAAGCTCCCACAACTTCTGAAGGCAACTTTTGTTCCACGGGTTGATTGTTCTCACTGTCAGAAAATGTCTCCTGATTTTCAGGTTGAATCTCTCCTTGATCAGGTTCCATCCATTATTCCTTGTCTGGCTTTGGAAAATAGCTTGACCTCCTCCTCTCTGTGGCAGCCCCATGCATATTGTGAGGACTTATTGGATCATTCCTCACAATACACTAACCCAGAGGTTTCCAAACCTGGTGACTTTAAAACTTGTGGACTTCAACTCCCAGAATTATTATTATTGGTTAATCTTTAGTGAGATTCACAGCCTTTGAGGCTGGTTAATAGCTCAGCAGCTCGAGTCCTAACCAAGGACCTAGGAACTGTTAAGGTATCGTCGGAGGATGTAAGCTGTTCCGAGTAAGGTGGTTTTTTGTAGAGTCAAAATGTTCAAGTCCGGCAAATTTACAATTTCTAAATAGCGGGGTAGCCCTTTGGGTATTGCTCCAAGGGCTCCAATTACAATCGGGACAACACACGATTTCTTTTTCCACAGTCGCTCAGCTTCAATTTGCAAGTCTCAGTACTTTGTGATTTTTTCTTGCTGCTTATCTTCAATCCGTGCATCACCAGGTATTGCAATGTCAATGAACCACACTTTTTTCTTTTCAACTATTGTTATGTCAGGTGTGTTGTGGACCAAGTGCCTGTCAGTCTGAATCCTAAAGTCCCACAAGATCTTGAGTTTCTCATTCTATTATTATTATTATTATTATTATTATTATTATTATTATTATTATTATTTAAATTTGTATACCGCAATAATTTAAATAATTTAAAATTATTTAAATTTGTAAGGACTCAGGGCGGTGAACAGCCAAGATTAAAATACATACAATATAAAAATTAAAATAAGTTAAAACAGAATTAAATCAGTTTGGCTTCCCCAAATTTTAAAACCCTTTACCCATAAAATAACTCATTAAAATTTTAAGCCAGCCCAGCTTGCTGAAATAAGAAAGTCTTCAAAGCTCGGTGGAAAGTACGGGGGTCCGGGATCAGTCGTATTCCTGGGGGTAGCTCGTTCCGGAGGGCGGGTGCCCCCACAGAGAAGGCTCTCCCCCTGGGGGTCGTCAGTTGACATTGCTTGACCGACGGCACCCTGAGGAGACCCTCTCTGTGGGAGCGCATTGGCCAGTGGGAGGTTATCGGTGGCAGAAGGTGGTCTCGTAAATACCCGGGCCCTAAGCCATGGAGCGCTTTAAAGATGAGAACCAATACCTTGAAGCGCACCCGGAAGACCACCGGAAGCCCGTGCAGCTCGCGCAGGAAAGGTGTTACATGGGAGCGCCATGTCGCCCCCATAATTACCCGCGCGGCTGCATTCTGGACCAGCTGGAGCCTCCGGGTGCTCCTCAAGGGGAGCCCCATGTAGAGAGCATTGCAGTAGTCCAGGCGAGAGGTGACGAGGGCGTGGGTGACCAGGCATAAGGAATCCCAATCCAGAAAGGGACGCAACTGGCGTATCAGGCGAACCTGATAAAAAGCCCCCCTGGCCATGGCCGTCATATGCTCTTCTAAAGACAGCCGTGCATCCAGGAGGACGCCCAAGTTACGAGCCCTCTCCGTGGGGGCCAATGACTCAATGGCCAATAGCCAGCGATGGCACCAGCTGGCTATATCGGGATGCCGGCAGCCACAGCCACTCGGTCTTGGAGGGGTTGAGTCGGAGCCTGTTCCTCCCCATCCGGACCCGCACGGTCTCCAGGCACCGGGACACCACTTCAAGGGCATCGTTGGGGTGGTCGGGGGTGGAGATGTACAGCATTCCGCAGCCAGCATGGAATTCTGGGAGTTGAAGTTTGCAAGTCTTAAAGTAACCAAGTTAGGAGACCTCCTGCACTACAGCATCAATCCAGGTGAATATAAGATGCTGTTATGCGCACAAATCCCAATTATCCAACCTTATTTCAGCTAGCCTAATGCGTTGGGCAAAGTTAGCCATTATGTGGAAAACATTTTTCAGCTTTTATAACGCTTTGCTACAGATTACCCATCTCATTATCTGGCGAGACCGGTGCCAACTTCTCAATTATTTTCAGCAGCTTATTGATTTGTTTTAAAAAAATTGTTCTTTTTTTGCACTGCCCTTCCCTCTGTCTCCTCCATCCAACCAATATTTTTTTTTTTTTAAATGCAGGGCAGTTTTAAAACATCACGTAAAATAAGACACACCTAAACACACGTAGGTTTTTCTATGTTTACAGTGTACATGTATGTGTATATGATTTAGATGACTTTATTGTCATTGCACGTCGTACAACGAAATTCAATGCCATCTTCAGTGTACATTATACGTAAGAAAAAAAACAATATAAATAAAACACAAACACACATCCTTCACATGCTATACAACTGAATTAAAACCACCTAATACTGCATTAATATTGCACTACTATACAGTAGAATTCAATATAGTTAACTGCTCTGGGATAGAAGCTGTTTTTCAGCCTATTTGTCCTTATTTCTTTTCTTTTTTTATTATTATTATTTTTTAAAATTATTTATAATACAAATTAAAAACAATGGACATAGCGTGATATCTCCCGTTTGGCTCTGCAACCCAACAAGGCAGACACAGACTTCAGAGGATAATTAGAACTGCAGAAAAAACAATGGCTACCAACCTGCCTTCCATGGAGGACCTGTGTACTGCACGAGCCAAAAAGAGGGCTGGGAAAATATTTACAGACCCGTCGTATCCTGGACATAAATTGTTTCAATTCCTACCCTCAAAACAACACTGTAGAGCACTGCACACCAGAACAACTAGACACAAGAACAGTTTTTCCCCGAACGCCATCACTCTGATAAACAAATAATTCCCTCAACACTGTCAAACTATTCACTAAGTCTGCACTACTATTAATCTTCTCATCGTTCCCACCACCCATCTCCTCCCACTTATGACTGCATGACTGTAATTTTGTTGCTTGTATCCTTACGATTTATATTGATATTGTTTCCGGATTGCTTATTTGTACCCTCTGACTATCATTAAGTGTTGTACCTTATGATTCTTGACGAATGTATCTTTTCTTTTATGTACACTGAGAGCGTATGCACCAAAGACAAATTCCTTGTGTGTCCAATCACACTTGGCCAATAAAAAATTCTAATTCTAATTAAACATTTTCATTGAATTTTGTCATAGAATTGATACACTTCTTTATCTCTATACCAGGGGTCAGCAACCTGTGGCTCTGGAGCCGCGTGTGGCTCTTTCACCCCTCTGCTGCGGCTCCCTGTCCCTCAAAATATGTGTCACAACCACCAATGTGCAACACCCACCGGCACGCGATTTATTGAGCTTTTCAACTCCCGGTAGGCCAACCATGGATAAATCCAAGAAAAGAAAAGTTTCAGAACAGAACATTAAACAGAACATTTAATTCAACTACATATGCTAGTTTTATGGCCGCTGAAGAAATAGTCAGGCACAGGAAGAGTTTTTGTGGCTTCCGGTGTTTTCTTTTCTGTGGGAAACGGGTCCAAATGGCTCTTTTGAGTGTTTAAGGTTGCAGATCTCTACTCTATACATATTTACACTAATTACCACAGTTTGAATACATATATTCTCTCATCCATATAGGTTATTTCGACATCTGTTTCAATCGAATCTATCGTAACAAATTAGCCTGAAAACTTCCAGTTTTTTATTTGTCCTTGTTTCTATGTATATGTCCTATGCATATGTCCTATGTATGTGATATGTACGTGCACAGGTAGTCTTCGACTTACAACAGTTCATTTAACGACCGTTCAAAGTTACAACAGCACTGTAAAAAGTGACTTATGGCCATTTTTCACACTTAATGACGTCGCAGCATCCCATGGTCATGTGATCCCCTTTTGCGACCTTCTGCCGAGCAAAGTCAATGGGGAAGCCAGGTTCACTTAATTGTGTTACCAGTTTAACGGCTGCAATGATTCACTTTGCTTGTCAGGAGGTCACAAAAATTGACTTTTTGACTGCAAAAAAAAGAGATCAAGTGACCCCCCCCAGGACACTGCAACCGTCATAAATACGAGTCAGTGGTCAAGCGGGCAAATTTCTGATCACGTGACCATGGAAATGCTGCAACAGTCCTGAGTGCGAAAAGCAGTCGTAAGTCACTTTTTCAGTGCCTAAACGAATGGTTGTAAGTCGAGGACTACCTGTATTTGAAAACAGTTAAATTTTTCTTTAAAAAAAAAAAAAAAGACTTACAAGTTGTTCAGACTTCACACCAAATAACTGGATGGTCTTTGCCACGTTTTTTGATACCGCAAAGCTGAGGTTTACATCCACAGCTGCCACGTTCAGCTCGCTAGGAAAAAATAAATAAAATAACAGTAGAAAAAAAGATTAAGAAATGAACAATGCAACCGCAAAGAACGCTCCGTTCCAAAATTAAAATTACTGTATTTTTCGGAGTATAAGATGCACCATTTTTCCCCCTAAAAGGGGATGAAAATTTAGGTGCATCTTATACACCGAATGTAGCCCTACCCACCCACTGGCCCCCACCCTTTGGCCTCTGCCTCGCAGCAGTTACCTCCTTGCAAGCAAACAGCATGAAAAAACAGCTCCTTTCAGCTTCAGCACAGTCTAATTAGCACAAATTGATTGGATCGGCCTCCCGACTCTCAGCTGATTTGCTCTCAGCTGTTTTGCACAGGGCTCTGCTGCTTGCTGCAAAGAGGTAAATTGCTGGAGCAGATTTTTTTTCCCCTTGTGCTAATCAAGCTAAGCTGAAAACGAAAATGAAAGTACAGCAGGCTGTTTGCTGTTTGCTGCAAGGAGGCAAAATTGCTCAGAGGCAGAGGGAGATTTCTTTTTTTTCTTTTCCTCACCAAAAAAGGTAGGTGTGTCTTATACTCTGGTGTATCTTATACTCCGAAAAATACGGTAGGAAGGAAGAAGGAAAAAAAGGTTACGTTATATGTAAGGTACTGAAATTTATTACCAACACTCACCTTGCAATGATTTTAATAATGCTGTCCAGTTCATCAGCCGATGGAGGGTTGCGACCTCCGGAAGGAAAGACCAGGTTGATGGGATCAAAGAGCCGCGACAGCGATTTTGATAGATAGGCAGCTTCGTAAGGTTGCAAAGAATTCTTTAATGCTTTCTCCGGGCTACGAAGAGGGAGCAATTAACAAAGAGAAAAATATTTATTTTCGTTTTGCAAACCGCGCCTTAACACGGCAAACCCATCTGAGACTTTTGCAGAGAATAATGGCAATAGCACTTGGATTTATAGACCGCTTCACAGTGCTTTACATTCCTCTCTGTTGAAGGATTATTGTAGATTGGGAATAGTGTAGGAGAAGAGACTGGGGGTGGAGTCAAGAGAGGAATCAATCTGGAATCTCTATGTAGCCACAAAGGGTTTAAAGTCCAATCCCTCTTGAATTCCACTAACATTTATCTAGTGCCAATTTAACTGGAACTTAACGTATGGTACCTATTTTTTTTGCCTGACAAATAGACTGTCCCGGAGAAAACTTATCTGTGTAGTGCCTAAGAGTTGACGCCAATCTGATGGCACATAATCAAATCAAATCAAATCAAATCAAATCAAATCAAATCAAGAATGTCACAATCATTCTAGGTAGTCCCATAAATAGCAATAGCACCTAGACGTATATACCGCTTCACGGTGCTTTACAGCCCTCTCTAAGCAGTTGACAGAGTCAGCCTCTTACCCCCCCCCCCCAACAAACTGGGTCCTCATTTTACCGACTTCGGAAAGATGGAAGGCTGAGTCAACCTTATTTATTTATTTATTTATTTATTAGATTTTTATACCGCCCCCTCTCCCGAAGGACTCGGGGCGGTGAACAGCCAAAGTTAAAAACATACAATATAAACAATTAAAATACGTTTAAAACAGAATTAAATCTAAAATGGCTCCCCAATTTAAAATGCCTTACCCATACCCCTATAAAAAGACGAATTTAAAATTTAAAACCTTGAGCCGGTCAGGATCGAACTGCTGGCCGTTGGCAGAATTAGCCTGCAATCCTGCATGCGCTCCATGGCTTAGGGCCTGGTTATTTACGAGACCACCTTCTGCCACCGATAACCTCCCACCGGCCAATACGCTCCCACGGAGAGGGCCTCCTCAGGGTGCCGTCGGTCAGGCAATGTCGGCTGGCGACCCCTCAGGGAAGAGCCTTCTCTGTGGGGGCACCCGCCCTCTGGAATGAGCTACCCCCAGGGATACGACTGATCCCGGACCTCCGGACCTTCCGCCAGGCTCTGAAGACTTTATTATTTCAGCAAGCCGGGCTGGGTTAAAAATCTTTTAATTGGAGAATTTTATGGGTAAGGGGTTTTAAATTGGGGGAAGCCAAAGATAAATTTAATTTTGTTTTATAGTATTTTAATGTTTATATTGTATGTTTTTTAATTTTGGTTGTTCACCGCCCCGAGTCCTTCGGGAGAGGGGGCGGTATAAAAATCACTAGAAAGCAGGATTTTCTGCTTCCTAGCGAATATAAATCGCGTGGCACACTGATCGTTGTAAATACCGGTTCAGGCAAACCGGTAGCTTTTTTTTTTTACTACCGGTTTGCCCAAACTGGTAGCTTTTATTACTACCGGTACGCCCGGATCGGTGCGAACCGGTAGCATTTCATCCCTGCTCCCTAAGCTTCAATCTGCTTCCATTCAAACCGGCCAATTCTAATGACTTAACGACAGTAGCTTCACTGCCTTTGTTAACAGCAAACCCAATTTCTATTTATAAACATCACTTCTGCGCTACGGAATAATGATCTAATTCGTTGCAAGGAATCTGAAGTCTGAAATATTCTGTTGTCTAATTACAGACGGAAGCGCTCGTACTCATAATCGTGTTTCTTCTGCATGAATAGGTCCTGCGTATCGTCATCTATTTGAAGAAGTTCGGATAAAGGCTCAGCGCTGCCGTTCGCAATCACGTTTCTCTGAATGCTTTCGCTGTATTGCTGAAGGCGCTTCCAGAAATCATTATACAGCCGCAGTAATTTAGGATATTCGCCTTCAAAAGCCTGTTTCAGGAACATGGACGCTGAAAACCAAAACAAAAAGAGACCGTACAGATGTTACTCAAAGCAAGCTTGTGCGATGGTTAAAACTTTTTCGTGCTGCGATATTTAAAATTGGCAGCGTACAGGCAGTCGTCGACGTACAACCCATTCATTTAGTGACCGTTCGAAGTTACAATGGCACTGAAAAAAGTGGCTCGTGGCTGTTTTTCACACTTACGACCGTTGCTGTATCCCCATGGTCACTCGATCAACATTTGTAACTCTTGGCAATGGGCTCGTATTTATGACAGTTGCAGTTTCCCAGGGTCACGTCATCAAACTTCGGACACTTGGCATGTACTTATGACGGTTGCAGTGTCCCGGGGTCATGCAATCACATTTTGTGAACTTTTGACAAGCAAAGTTAACGGGGGAAGCCAGATTCGCTTAATAACCCTGTTACTAACTTAGCAACTTCAGTGATTCACTTAACCACTGTGGCCCGGAAGGTCATAAAATGGGGCAAAACTCACTTGTAACAACTGTCTCACGTAGCAACAGAAATTTTGAACTCAACTGTGATCATAAGAAAAGGACTATCTGTATAAAAATTCAATACAGCTAGTCCTCGACTTATGGGAAATCGCTTAGTTTTTGAAGTTACAACGGATCTCCTCAGGTGTGAGCATTTGAAGTTACAACGGATTTCCTCAGGGGTGAGCATTTGAAGTTACAACGGATCTCCTCAGGGGTGTGTACGACCCAGATTCGAAGTCCTCATAGTTGTCCCCACCCCCATGATCACATGACCACACTTCAGGCATGTGAGGGACCATCTTTTGCCGATCATGTCTACCCAACCCACTAGAGCGGGGAGGCATGGAATGTTGCGTGTCCCGTCCCCTAAGGCGATACATCTGATGGGACCCAGAAGAAGGGCCTTCTCCATGGTGGCTCTGGAACATCATCTCCCCAGAGATTAAAACGGTCCCCACTCTAGCCCTCTTTTGGAAGGCCCTGAAGACCTGGATCTGCCAGCGGGCCTGGGGAACCCAGAGTGGGTTGGAGCCCATTAAATGGCTCGTATAATGTGTTGTCGCCAGAGCGGGGCGTTATTATTTTACTAATTTATTATTTTATTATTTTTTCTTTTTTATTCTTTTTATTTCTTTTATATGGTTTTTATATCTGTGTAAGCTGCCTTGAGTCGCCATGTGCTAGCAGGCGGTAAAATAAAATAAAATAAAATAATAAAATAAAAATAAAAATAAAATAAATAAATAAATAAATAAAATAAAAAATAATAATAAAATAAAAAAATAAAATAAATAAAAAATATAATAAAATAAAATAAAATAAAATAAACATATAAAAATAAAATAAAATAAAATAATAAATTAAATTAAATTAAGTATAAGTATAATTTTATTTCTATACCGCCCTTCTCCCGAAGGACTCAGGGCGGTGTACAGCCTATTTAAAAACACAAGACAAACATCAATTAAAAATTTAATATTATTAAATAAATTCGGCTCAATTTAAAACCCCAGAAATTTAAAATACCCCAATTTAAAATTATTATGTTGATAGCCCGGCCTGGCGGAACAACAGGGTCTTCAGTGCCCAGCGAAATACCCGGAGGTCGGAGATCTTACGTATTTCCGGGGGCAGTTCATTCCACAGGGCTGGGGCTCCCACAGAGAAGGCCCTCCCCCTGGGTGTCGCCAGCCGACATAACTTGGCCGATGGCACCCTGAGGAGACCCTCTCTGTGGGAGCGAACTGGCCGGTGGGAGGCTAATGGTGCAGAAGTCGGTCTCGAAATTAAATAATAAAACAAAATTAAAATAAAATAATAAAATAAAATAAAATAATAAAATAAATAAAATAAATAAAAAAATAAAATAAATAAAATAAATAAATAAATAAAATAAATAAAATAAATAAAATAAATAAAATAAAATAAATAAAATAAATAAAATAAATAAAATAAATAAAATAAAAATAAATCAAATATCAGGAACCATCTACATTTACAAGCATTTGCAGTGCCCTACAATCACCTAACTGGGTTTGTACGAGTTTCGCCCAAACCCAGCATTGTCGGTTTTCGGCAAAACTGACCCATCGTGAATCATGGCTTCACCTGACAACTGCAGTGGTTGTTTTACAAGCACGGCAGCCTGAACGATGTCCACAAAAAAAAGGGGGGGGCATAAAACCGGGACGGCCACCTGGGCGAGTCGATTTACGACCTACACATTCGTTTTACGGCCGTAATGGGCAGGCTCCAGTACAGTTGTAACTCAAGGACTCCTTGTACTTTTTAATAAAAAGCTGTTTCGACAACAACGGATGGAAGCCTTCGTTTGAGGTATTGTGCTCTGGAGAAAATGCTGTACCTTTTACCTTCGCAATGGCCATAACGACAGAAATATCCAGAGAAATTCCCGCTGTGACTTATTATTGGCTTTTATGTCCCTTTTACTAGTCTAATCAAATAGAAATGAATCGCAGGCCGGATGCCCTGATAACCCTACTTTTTCTCTGCTCCACAATTTCACTTTTGTGTTTTCGGCGTCACATCACTTCTTACCTCAATAAGATCCCAGGCTTGAAAAAGCAAAAGATGATTTAATTGGTAGGGTTAACAATGGGAAGGTATTGTTTGTCTAACAATACCTTGCCCTAGTTAGACTTACTGCTGGATGAGGTAAGTTACGCAAGAGAGCTGTTTTTATCCCGTTCAATTCAGAAATGCCCCAGAAAAATATATTTATTTCGCCACCGAGTGATTTCTTTAGACGTCAGTCGCTTCTTCAAGAAGTACATATTTTGAATGGCGGTGTCGAATTTATTAAATTCTTACAGGTTTGGGTTTTTTTTATAATTTTGCAATATATATATTTTCCTTCAATCGTCAATACTTTAAAAGTCGCAACGTTAACCCGTGACAGACTTGAGAATAAGCAAAATATAAAAAAATGTAATGCATCTCACACACGTAATATTCCTGCAACAGGGACAGGAAGTTGCAGACAATACACTGGCTTTCAAAATATCAGACAGCCAAACATAACGCAGACAGATTAATGTGTCTTTTTTTTTTTTTTTGTGGGGATCCTTGGTACTCTCTGAGCTTGGTGGTTTTCTTGCAGATGTTTCACCGCCAGCACTGATGATGTTACCTAGTTGGGTCATGAAACGTCTGCAAGCAAACCACCATTTCCAAGATCATTTCCACCAATACAGACTGTTGTGGCCCACCAGCGGCCTACGCGGATCGTGGCTGATCCCAACGAGGAGGAGGCTGGTGTGGGGTTGCGCCAGCAGCCTGCGCAGCCGGCGCTCGAGTCGGAGAGCGAGGAGGCTGAAGAGGATGTGGTGCCAGAGGCAGAGACTCAGCCAGGGCCTTCAGAACCTCCAGAGGCTCCTTCAAGTGGAGAGAGCAAAGTGGAGGAGCCTCTCCTCAATGCTCGAGCATGCAGGGCTGCCAAAAGGCAGGAGTGGCTACTCAGGAGGAGGAGATCTACTCGAGAGTAGGGCTTGAGGATCATTGGTCACTCCCTTAGCCTATTTAAGTCGCACGCAGCTAGTGCGTTCTTGCTGGAAACAATTCGTATTATTATCAGAGTATTTTGGTTTATCATATCTTGTTTTCTGGGCTGGTTGCCAACCTTTGCTGGGCTTGTTTATTCTTGCTACTTAATAAATTTGATAAGGACCGTTGGTGTGTGTCAATATCCTCGGAAATCCGGAGCTGGGGCAGAACACGGACAGGGCAAACCACTAAGAATATAAATTGACACAAATTCTGTGTCCCCAGTGACACAGAAAACCTTGGAGGGAATGTTTGCATCAGACAAGCAACCCAGCACACCTAATATGCCAACAATGCAGGCCACGCTCATAACAATTCAGGAAACTATGGCCAAAATGCAAGAGTGTATGACCAGAAACCATGAACAATCCAGAAAAGACATGGACGAGGTAAAGAGAGAAGTCAAGAATGACATTCAAAAGATTGATGGAAAAATGGACTTAATACAAGAAATCATTCAAAAAAATGACCAAAGGATAAAAGAAATAGAACAAAAAACTGAATTGACGGTAGAAAAACTAGAAGCATTAGATACAAAAATGACAGGATTAAATAAGGAACTTGAGAACACCGTGGCCCAATTAGAAATGGAGAAGGCAGCATTCTATTTGCGTTTTCAGAACGTAGCGGAAGACCGGGAGGAGGATCTGACGATGGTAATGGCTGAGATGATAGCAGAGGCACTCCAGAGAGAAAAAGACGAGATAATTAATGAACTAGACGAAGTTTACCGAGTCCACACTAACTATGCACGACAAAACAAACTCCCTCGAGAGGTACACATAAGATTTGTAAGAAGGAAGGTGAGGGATATTGTATATAAGATAACAAAGGATGAACCAATGTATTATAGAAATAAAGAAATAATCACCCTAAAGCAAGTACCTAAAAGAATACGAGATTTGCGAAGAGATTATTGGTTCCTGGCCACGTTACTAAACAGAAGATATATACCATTCAAATGGATAACCCCGGAAGGAATGTTAATAACGTGGCAGGGAAAGAAAATCAAGGTGGACTCGCACAGCAAAGCAAAAGAACTATATGACCAAATGATGGGTGCTGAAGCAACAAATGGTAATAGAGAAGAGGAAGGACGAAATATCAAAGGAAAACAGAAGAGAGATCGGGAAAGAACACTACAACAAGGAGGGAAAGTAGATGAAGAAGAGACCCAGGAAGAGGAAGGAGTGCAGACAAGAGGCAAAAAAAAAGGAACAGGAAGAAATAAAGAAGAAACAACAGGAAAGTCAATAAAAAAAAAAAATGGAACGGACTTTAAAAATACTATCTGTAAATGTTAATGGACTCAACTCACCATCCAAACGACACCAAACTTACAAAAAAATTTTGAAACAAAAATCAGACATTGTGTGCCTCCAGGAGGTACATATAAGAAAACAGGATATTAAATATATACAATATAAAAAATTAGGTAAAG